GACCAGGCTGGTCCACAGAGGTCATCATGTCTTTAGCTGTCCTGAGGTACAGGCTGGTCCACAATGGTGATCTGGTTTTTAGTTGTACTGAAATCCAGGCTTGTTCACAGAGATGATCGTGTTCTTTAGTTCGTATGAAGTCCAGGCTGCTCTACAGATGTGATCAGGTCTTTAGTTGTCCAGAGGTCCAGGCTGTTATACAGAGGCATTTGGGTCATTAGTTGTCCTGATGCCCAGGCGGGGTTCAGGTCTTTAGTTGTCCTGAGTTCAAAGCTGTTCACAGAGGTGATCAGATCTTTATTTGTCCTTAGGTCCAGGCTGGTTCACAGAGATGATCTGGTCATAGGTTGTCTCAAGGCCCTGGCTTTTCCACAGAGGTGATCTTGTTTTTAAGTCTCCAGAGGTCCATGCTGATCTGCAGAGGTGATCATATTTTTTGTTGTCATGAGGTTTAGGGTGGTCCACAGAGGTGATCAGATCTTTAGTTGTCCTTTGATTTAGTCTGGTCCACATAGGTTATAAGGTCTTTAGTTGTCTTGAAGTCCAGGCTGGTCCAAAGGGGTGGTCTGGTCTTTAGTTGTTCCAATGTCCAGGCTGTTCTACAATGGAGATCAGATCTTTAGTTTTTCTGAGGTCCAGCCTGGTCAACAGAGGTGATTGGGTCTTTGAACCTGCCAGGACCTCTGGACAACTAAATATTTGATGAGGTTTTAAATTGTCCTGAGGTACAGGCTGGTCCACCAAGATGATCTAGTTTTTAGTTGTTCAGAGGTCCAAACTGATCTACAGAGGTGATCGAGTCTTTAGCTTTCCAGAGGTCCATGTTCGTTCACAGAACACTATTGCCACTGTGCTTGCTCAGGATGGGAGACCGCAACGAAGCCAAGATTCAACTTGTCTGCTGAATTCCTTAGATAGAGAACTTTACTAATTGGCTTTTATGTATGTGAATGTTCCTGTAAAGTGCCCTGAGGCAACTTTGTTGTGATATGGCGCTACATAAATAAACTGAATTGAATTTAATAGAGGTGATCAGACATAAAGTTGACCTTAAGGGCATGCTGTTCCAGAGAGATAATTACCATACCATACCATACCATACCATACCATACCATACCATACCATACCACTTTATTTATAAAGCTCTTAAAACAGCTACAAAGCCAATCAAAGTGCTGTACAGACAAAACAACAGGTAACACACAAAGCAAAATACAAAATGAGGTAAATCAGAATATAGACATAAAAACGATGCAGATAATGACGACAAACCAGTGTGGAGCATACAGGATCAAAACACAGATCATCTGGTGTTGAAAGCTACTGAATAGTAGTGAGTTTTTAAACGGGACTTGAAAACCGAGAGGGAGGGGGCCTGTCTGACAAACAGAGGTAACTCATTCCAGAGTCTTGGAACGGGTCTAATTGGGTCTTCTGTTGTCCAAAGTTTCAGACTAGTCCACAGAGGTGATCAAGTATTTGTTGTCCATAGGTGCAGGCTGTTCCACAGTGATTCTCAGGTTTTTCTTTGTACATGGGCTCAGGCTGATACACAGATGTGATCGGTAGGGATGCACCGATCCACTTTTGTCACTTCCGATATCAATATCTGAGTTTTAGCATCAGCCGATCCAATACAGAAAAACAGTGTTGAATTAACAAAAATGGCTAAATCATGTCATCTAGACCCATTTCTGAAACAGGTCCTGATGATATGATTTAGCCATTTTTGTTGTTGTCTACCTGGATGATTGAGCTTACAAACCAAGTGCTGACATGAATGTACTGAATTACAAATTTTTTGAAAACTCTGCACCAGAACAGCACACTAAACACACCAAGAGATTCACAAGCTTGGCCAAATGTGTAAAAACAACACAACTTAAATTTGTTCAGTCAGTACAATTATGACGTCACTCAGAACACAAAGCATAGAATTAGAGTGAATAAATCTGCCCAGTCATGGATCGGTCACATTGTCACAGATACCCGATCCAGACATTTTTCTGATATCTGACCCGATACCGATATTGGTATCAGATCGGTGCATCTCTAGTGATCGGGTCTTTAGTCATCCAGAGGTCCTGACTGGTCTAAAGTGGGGATCAAGTTTTTACTTGTCTTGATGTCCAGGCTGGTCCACAAAGGTGATCAGCTATTTAGCTGTCCTGAGGTTCATGCTGGTCCACATAGGTGATCGGGTTTTTAGTTATCCAGAAAAAATGGGTACCAACACACTTCTCCTCCATTCCTCAGACATTTTCTCATCCTCAAAGCTCTTAATCTTCCTGGCTCCTGCTTACATGCCCCCGCTGAGACGCTCCAGACCGGTACAAAAGAAAGTTAAATGTTGGAGCCAGGACAGTGGCCCCATACTGAGAGATTGTTTTGACCGAACAGACTGGCAGGTTTTCAGAGAAGCTGCTGAAAATGGAGGTTCGCTTGATCTTGACCAATACACATCCTCAGTACTGGGTTACATTAGTACATGTACTGACACCGTCTCCACTATCAGAAATGTTAAAAGCTACCCAAACAGAAAACCTTGGCTGAATGCAGAGGTGCGTACCCTGCTGGAAGCCAGGAACACTGCCTTCAGGTCTGGAAACTCAGAGGAGCTGAGTAGGACAAGAAAAGAGCTGGTTGCTGGTATTAAGAGGGCCAAGGCCACATATGTTCAGAGGATCGAGGGTCAATTCATCTCACAAGACCCTCGGAGCATGTGGAGGGGCATTAAGTGCATAACAGATTATAAAGGAAGGAGTGAACAATGCCCCAAAGACCCATCTCTGCCTGATGCCCTCAACAAGTTCTATGCACGCTTTGAAGACCCGAACAGACCACCCAGCACCAGACTCACCTCGCCACCGGATGAAGAGCATCTCAGCGTGACCTCAGCAGAAGTAAGGAGTACCTTCAGGAGGATTAATCCGCACAAAGCAACTGGCCCAGACAACATCCCCGGAAAAGTGTTGAAGGAATGTGCTGATCAGCTCTGTGAGGTGCTGGCAGACATCTTTAACACCTCACTTACCCTGGAGACAGTTCCCACCTGCCTGAAGACTGCCACCATCATCCCAGTCCCAAAAAGCTCTACAGTGACTGGTCTGAATGACTATCGGCCAGTGGCCCTCACCCCGATAGTCACTAAATGCTTCGAAAAACTGGTCATGACTCACATCAAAACAAACATCAACGAGGACCCTCATCAGTACGCATACCGTGAGAACCGATCAACAGAGGATGCCATCTCCTCTGTGGTCCACACTGCACTCAACCACCTGGAGCAGAAAGACTCTTACGTCTGTATGCTCTTTGTGGACTTCACATCCGCCTTCAACACCATGATCCCCCAAACCCTGATGGACAAACTATCCACACTAGGACTAAGCCCCTCCATCTGCAACTGGGTACTAGACTTTTTAACAAACAGACCACAGTTAGTGAGGATCCACAACCTCTCCTCCTCCACCATAACCCTCAGCACTGGCTCTCCTCAGGGATGTGTGTTGAGCCCCCTTCTGTTTACTCTGCTCACATATGATTGTGCAGCTACCCATCCAGGCTGTCACATTGTAACGTTTGCAGATGATACAGCGGTGGTGGGATGCATCACAAACAATGATGAGTCCAGCTACAGGCAAGAGGTGGAACACCTGGAGAGCTGGTGCAGAGAGAATAACCTTCACATCAATGTGAAGAAGACAAAGGAGATGATTGTGGACTTCAGAAGGAACAAAAACACCTACACCCCCCTGAACATAAGAGGATCTGCGGTGGAAGTGGTCTCCAGCTACAAGTACTTGGGTGTACACATGAATGACAACCTCAGCTGGAGCAACAACACCACCAGCCTGATCAAGAAAGCTCATCAGAGACTCTACTTCCTCAGACGGCTGAGGCGAGCTGGTCTGGGAAGCTCAGTCCTCACCTCCTTCTACAGGTGTGCAGTGGAGAGCATCCTGTGCTCGAGCATCAATGTGTGGCATGGAGGCTGCACAGCTGCAGAAAGAAAAGCTTTGCAGAGAGTGGTGAAGGCTGCACAGAAATCTGTCGGAATCAGTCTCCCCACCATCACAGACATCTACACCTCCAGATGCAGGAAGAGGGCCACCTGCATCATGAAGGACCCCACCCACCCAGCACACACACTTTTTACCCCACTCCCCTCAGGAAGGAGGTTAAGGAGCATTAAGTGTAGAACCACTAGACTGAGGAACAGCTTCTACCCTGAGGCTGTTAGACTCATGAATATCTAACTAGAATAATCACTGTGAAAAACCATATCATGTTGCTGCTGATCTGTTTCAATGTTGATGTGTTAATGCATGCACATCTGCTCACAGACTCATGTTCATGTTTGTGCTGATGTTCAATGTTTTATGTTATGAGTGCTTAGTGTATATTTAGTTGATGTTTTTCTTAGTTCATATCTTAGATGTTATTACTGTTTTTATTAGACATTTTATTGTTGGATGTAACTGGGACCCCGTGTACATAATTTCGCTCCACCACATGTACCACATGAGGTGCGAATGACAATAAAGAAACTCTGACTCTGACTGACTCTGAGTATTTGAGTCAAAAACCTCACTGCCATTTCTCCAAGACATTTCCAAACCTTCACTGGTATGTCATCAGGTCCTACTGCCTTCCCTTTCTTCATTCTTTTCAGAGCTTTGCAAACGTCACCCTCACTAATCTTTCCCACTTTCTGGTCCACAGTTTCTATGACCTCTACTCTTCTTTTTCTTTCATTCTCTTCATTCATTAGCTCTGCAAAGTACTCCTCATTCTTCTCTTCATGCTCTCTTCACTTGTTAGAACATACCATTTCTATCTTTAACAAGCCTAACATGCTTGCTATGCTTTCCAGCCTGATCCCTCTGTCTTGCCAATCAGTACAGGTCCTTCTCGCCTTCTTTAATGTCCAGCCTCCCATACAACTTATCATTCACCCTCTGCTTTGCCTTTGTTGCTTCCCTGTTTGCTTTACATTGCATCTCCTTATATTCTTGTCTCCTCTCTTCAGTCCTTTCACTGTCATTTTTTTCTTCTAACCTCTTTCTTAGAATAGTTTCCTGAACTTCACTATTCCATCACCAGGTTTCCTTTTTTTTCTCTGTCCATATGACACATCAAGTACCTTCCTACTTGTCTCTGCTGTAGAAGCCTAGTCATTTGAAATCTCTTTTTTTACCACCTGAAAACTAACTGCTCCCCTCTGAGCTCCTATCCCTCCTCTTCCTTCCTCAGCTTCCACCATTTCATCTTCTTTTCTTATTTTACTCTTTTTCTCTTCTTCACAACAACAGTCGTTCTACACACAACTATCCAATGCTGTCTGGACACACACTCTCCCCTGCCACAAACTTACAGTCTCCAATCTCCCTCAGGTTTCCTCTTCTACACAGAATGTAGTTGACCTGCGTACTCCTTCCTCCACTCTTATAGGTCACTCTATGTTCCTCCAAATTTTGGAGGTGCATATGATACAAATCGTAAACATGAGTAAAACATTCCTCAATCAATCAATCAATTAGGTCTTTAAAGTTATTCTTCACTTTTAAATCAAGTTTTAGGGTAATAAAGTTGATTTTCCAGTCTAAACTACAATAGCTCAGGTCAAAATTTAAATGTTCCAAGATCAGATTTCTAAATGAAAATTCCTGGGTCAAATTTTTATCCCATCTTTGTACAAAAGTTAATATGTTATGCCACAGCCAGTTAAAATCGTCTTCACAGAATGTATTTTTGATTTCACCTTATTGATAAATCCTTGGCATCAAAACGGAGCCCTCTTTTGTTTGTAAATGTAGTGTTTTAAGTTTCTTAAGTGTTATAATCACACTAATAAAAATCCACATTTTTTCAAAAAACACCTACAAGTCTGAAGCACATGAAATCATAGCAACTCACTTGAATTATTTGCAGTCAGCAATAACAATGCTGTGCCATAAATTTACAAAATTTTATAAATTTAATAAATGTTATTTTGTTATATTCTTTTTACATGTATTATGTCAAGCTGAACAACCATTGTAAATTGTATAGATGCCTGGAGGGATGAGCAGTTATTTAACCACTCCTTCAATAAATTCACTTCAACTCAAGCTTCTTTCCAGTAATTATTTGTTTTATTAATGCTTCAGGAGCTAATTTGTTATAAACATTGCTTTTTTGTCTCAACACTTAATGTCTGTCTGTGAGCACAAGGAACTCTCAACATACTGTTAGTTTGGTTACACAAAGCAGTGAATTTATGAAAAATCACATCATGTTGCTGCTGATCTGTTTCATGTTGCTGCTGATCTGTTTCATGTTGCTGTGTTCATTCGTGCTCCTCTGCTCACACAGACTCATGTTCGTGCTGCTGTTCGGCGTATTGTTTTTGTACTACTACTGCTTAGCATATTTTTAGTTCATGTTTTTCTTAGTTCATATCTTAGATCTTATTATTGTTTTTTATTTACATTTTATTGTTGGATCTAACTGGAACCTTGTGTACACACTTTTGTTCCACCATACCACATGTGGTGCGAATGGAAAATAAAGAAACTCTGACTCTGAATTAAAAAAATAAAAATTAACAATAATTTGATCATCCATCCATCCATCCATCCATTTTCTTTACCCGCTTATTCCATTTTGGGTCACGGGGGTCGCTGGTGCCCATGTCCAGCAATCACTGTGCGAGGGGCGGGGTACACCCTGGACGGGTCGCAAGTCCATCACAGGGCATAATTTGATCATCTACTGTTAAAAAAAAAAAAAAAAATCAAAGGAACCCTTTCTGTGTCATCTGTTGCAAATGTAGAAACTGTTGCAAATAGATACATTATGTTGAGGCAAAGTTCCTAAATTGTCCTGTGCTTACAGTGATGAACTAAGGAAGGAGGTCCGGCAGCTGAAGAAGGAACTTCAGGCCATAAAGCAAAGGAAAGAAGAAAGTTCCAAGCCTGCTGCAGAGGAAGTTAAGGAGGGTATGTGCGCAGCATTTATTACTGCCCACCGCTAAAGGCAAAGGGATGATCACATTAATGCCTGGTACTAATAAATGGATGTATGTCTAAAACTCATCAACTAATTTAAGATTGCTTCTACAGCTTTTTAACCTTTGCCAACATAGAAATGACTGTCAATTAAAACTAAATTTAACTTACATTAATTCATAAACGATTACTAGTGTTGGCCAATAAACCATAAATATATTAGCCCTTCAATACAACTAAACATGCATGTTATCGATGATTTTTTAAAAGTTATAAGAAGCAGTTTTTCACCACTCCAACTGTTCTTCACAGTGTACCTATGGAATAGGCCCTTGCTACTTTCTGCACATTGGGACAGACAACCCTCTGATTTAGTCAATTAGTTGCAGAAGTTTATTCCCCCCTTGCAAGGGTCTACATTTTTGTGTTACAAATCTTTTAAATTACATGGTTAAAATTATTGACTGTACTTCAGGACTTTAGTGAATTTGTTAGTTCACATTTTTGACCAGTTTCAGTGCTGTAAACATCTGACCCCAACTCTCCATGGACTCTACCGCACTGCAGGCTGTCACACTGCTGTCAATCTTCAGATGGTTTTGCTGATTCTCAAACATAGTTTTGAAATGACTAAAACTACATAGGGACAGAGGTCTCCCTCAAGTTGTGTGCATGCATGCGTGTGTGCGTGCATGCATTTATGTTGTTTTGCAACCAAACACAGCTTGCTTCTTCTGGGATGAGCCAAACTGTGGGATTACTACACCAAAATTTATAGGAGACCATGATGGATTTTGTTGCTCAAACATTGTTTTTGTCTCACAAACAATGATTTAATGTTTTGAAGCACTGAAGAGAGCCCTTCTTCACTAGTTATTTGATTTATTCAAGATATTTAGTTTTTTTTTGTGTGTGTGTGTTGGGGGGGGGGTGGGGGTGACTGTCTGCCACGAAAAGACAAACAATAAATAAATGCTTTTGCATTTGTTTGTAGCATTAACAAAAATATTAATCACATGTTGAGTTTTAATGAAACTCTCACAGAGTAATCACTTGTTTGTTTTTTGTTGTTTGGTTTACTATTTTTCAAACATGTTAACTTCATACAATCATTTTAAGCAAAGAAGGAACACAAAAGTAAAATAAAACCCTACATTAAATCAAAAAGTGCACAAGCTTCACTCCACTTTTTGTGTAACACGTCCAAAAGCAGTGGGAAGAAGTTAATACTTGTCAGTGTTTAACCCAACTCCTTCACCATTAGTTATCATGTATTACTTATCTAATTCCTTATTGGTACAACCATCTGTGACAATAAAATACATATTTATAATAGTCAGGTAGCTACTGTTTCTAAAGCCAGGCTATCATCATGTTTTTTACATCCATCCATTATCTTTTACCCGCTTCTTCCATTTTGGGTCACGGGAGTTTCCGGTGCCCATGTCCAGCAATCACTGTGCGAGGGACGGGGTAAACCCTGGACGGGTCGCAAGTCCATCACAGGGACACCTAGAGACAAATGAGACAAACAACCATTCACTCTCTCACACACCTAGGGACAATTTAGAGTTACCAATCAGCCTAACATGCATGTTTTTGGTCTGTGGGAGGAAACCGCAGCACCCGGAGAAAACCCACGCATGCACGGAGAGAACATGCAAACTCCACCCAGAAAGGCCCCTGGACTGGGGTTTGAACCAGGGACCTGCTCGCTGAGAGGCAGCAGCTCTACCAGTTGCGCCACCGTGCTGCCATGTTTTTTACATATTCAATTCAATTCAAAAATACTTTATTAATCCCAAAGGGAAATTAAATGTTCTTGTGACTCATTATCCTCATTTCATTAAAAGATTTTATAGATACTGATGGCTGTAGGCAGGAAGTATCTCTTGTAAAGGTCCGTCCCACATCGGATCTGAAGAAACTGGCTACAGATGCTGTCCGATCCCTCCACCCGAACTCGGCTGGCCTCTCTGTTCCCCCTAAATGAAGGACCGCCCAAATGCTGGGCAGAACTCCTCCCAGAGTGATGGCCACTCCTCCCAGCAGCCTGCTGAGCTCCTCGTTGCTGCGGACAGCCGGCTCCACTTTTTGGGGGTTGATCCCGGTCCTTCTGCTGTCATGAGCCGTGTTTCCTGCTAGTTCCAGTGTCTCAATGGTCAGGCACTCAAGCACAGCTGGCAGGTAGATGGGAATGCATCCACAGGGCATCCGTTTCAACTCATTTGAGATTTGTGGTTGTAGTTGAGGTTTTATATGATCTTTGAGATATTAATCAGCCGCTCCCGGTTATTAAAAAAAAAAAAAAAAAAGCCCCACCTTGTTGCTATGGTTACGCATTATAACAAATGTCCAAAAGTAAAAAAGTTTAATTAAAAATTCTTTCAGCTGCACGGCATCAGATACCAAAGGAAATAATCATCCGAAAAAAGTGATTTCCTTCCAGAAAAAAAGGAATTAATGTTTACAAAAGCAATATCGCAGAATGAATGTAACAGAGCTACTCCCTCATGTAGCCACCCCAAGCGACGCAATTCTAGAATATCTTTGTTTCTTGAAAATAATTTCTTTGTACTTTCTTTTAAACATGTTTATGCTTGGACATTACTTCAACTCCATACACAGAATCACAAAAGCTCTTCCTCAAAGTGCACACATTCACAACTTTCAGTGTCCAAAAATCGCTTAAATTGTAACTTCCTTCCTGCCAAAGAAACATACTTTGAATTTGTTCCAGGTAATTGATCACGCTTGGCTCTGAACAGAATTTGTAGCATTTAGAGACTTACCAAGGTGACACAGTAGCTCTGCTGGTAAAGCTGTTGCCTCTCAGTGAGAAGGTTGCTGAATCAAATCCCGGCCGGGGTCCGTTCTGGATGGAGTTTGCATGTTCTCTCCATGCATACATGGGTTTTCTACGGGTATTCCAGTTTCCCCAAAAACATGCATGTTAGGCTTATTGGTAACTCTAAACTGTCCTTAGAGGACAATTTCCTATACAGTATGATAAACACACATCTTTCTCTCCAACTGTTATCTATCAGTTACTTCTTTCTTTGTGTTTGATGGCCTTACTGAATTCTTGTCTCTCTCTTGTCACACCTGGACACAAGGCAACAAATAAAACTTGTAACATATCAACCAAATGCTGCTGTGATTGTCAAACCACATCTTCATGAGGTTCTTCCCTTTAATAATATCCCAACTTTGGATCTGCTTAACCTGTCTATATTTAATAGTAATGCATCACAGGGTTTTAGGGTTGTTGTAATTCAAGCGTTCCTTACGACAGCTGATCTTGATTCAAGGGTTCTGGCCAACTGACATGACACCATCTGTCAATCAGTCCAGTAGGCTTGTCAGCAACTGACCAGTCAGCGATCACAATTTGTCCTGAAGTGAAACACCCCTTACCTGCTGGAGCTGCACCCCCTTTTCCTCCGACAACATTGTCGGGGTTTTGCATTACAAACATTTTGTGGTCATAGTGTTATGACTTGAGGAACCCAGAGTGGTATGAGACCTGGAACGAGACAGTCACAGGCAAGTACAAAAGTGACTGTTTATTATTTACAGTGAAATATGAACAGTAGCTTCTATGCAGCTCCTGGAAGAGGAGGGAGATGGACAGAGGAGGTTGGCAAGTGATCTGGCAATATTAATGTGATAATGTTCATTTTCTTACAGATTTGAAGATCTCCTTTGGGTCCACTCCAAATCCTTAGAAGAGCTCCAGAGGGGGACAAGGCCAAGGATCCAACTGGGCGAGGAAGGCTGGCAACTGGTGGTAGCAAGGCACGAGGGGAACCAAGGCAAGGCACGAGGAGAACCAGGACGAGGCGCTGGGAGAACCAGAATGAGGCACGAGGAGAACCAGGACGAGGCATGAGGAAAATCAGGACAGGACCAGGAGAACCAGGACCGAGGAGGCTGGAACACTGGAGACAAAAAGAGACTGGTAAGTAGGATTACTTAGTAACAATTTACAGGCCGGAGACAACACTACCATTAGATGGTCAGTGCTCCAGCGAAGAGTAACTCTGGACTGCAGCCTTGTGTAGTGGATGATCATCATCAGGTTGATGGCTGACAGCTGGTGGTAATTAGCGGCCATCTTGGACAAGGAGCTGCAGGCAGTGATACTCTTACAGCAACTCCCCCTCAAGAATCGCCCCCCAGGCGACCTGAGGCGCTTCTCTAGGTGGTTCCTAAAAAAGGAGGTGATAAGGCTGGGGTCCAAAATGAAAGATCTGGGGATCCAAGGCTTCTCCTTAGGACCGTACCCCTCCCAATTGATGAGGTACTGGAAACCTCTACCCCTGTGTCGCACATCAAGAATGGTTCTCACCGTGAACACAGGGCGATCGTCGATTAGACGGGGTGGTGGAGGGAGGTCAGAGGGAGGACACACGGGGCTCTCGGCAAAAGGTTTGCTCTGAGAAACATAAAACGTGGGGTGAATTTTCAAAGAGTTAGGGAGATGGAGTCTTACTGCGGTGAGGCTAATGATCTTGGAGATGGAGATGGGGCTGATGAATCGAGGTGCCATCTTACGGGGGACAATTTTCAGAGTGATGTCTCGGGTGGACAACCATACTCTTTGTCCCACTTGGTATGTGGGTGCTGTAGAGCGGTGGCAGTCGGCGAGCCTCTTGGTCTGGGCCGTAATACGAAGTAGAGCTGCCCTGGTTTGACGCCAGATCCGTCTACAGTGTCTGAAATGATGCTGGACTGATGGGACCATGCAGTCTGTCTCCAGGCTGGGGAAAAGGGGGGGCATGTAACCTAGGGAGGCTTCAAACAGGGACATATCTGTGGGCATTATGTGCGTATTCCACCCACACCTGGTGTTGGCTCCAGGCTGAGGGGTTCTTTTCGGCAATGCAGCGGAGGGTGATTTCCAGCTCCTGGTTGCAGCATTCAGCCTGGCCATTGGACTGGGGGTTGTAGCCCGAGGTGAGACTGGTGGAAGCCCCTAGGGATTTACAAAAACAGCGCCATACCTGCGAGACAAACTGAGGAC